ATTATTCATAAAAACGCAAAATGAAAATAGAAATTCCGTGTAACGCCTGCGGCCGACCGTATGCAAAATACCCAAGTCGGTGAGGTTCGCGAACAGCCGTCGGCATGCGACTAATGCGAATTCGTGTGATGCGCTGGACGTAATAAATAATGTTAACGAGGCTGTGCTGACGCTAAACTTTAGGTCCAATTAGCGAACAATTATTTTTTAATCATGTCACACGGCGGACAATGTGATGTTGCGGTGGTTCAACAACCGATCCCATCGGGTCACCTATTCGTTCGAGGGTGCTGAATAACGTGTACGGCGGCATCCATACGAGACCATCACAGATAACAATCGGCTTCGCGCGTTATCGGTGATTACTAGTTCCCTGCAAAACTCCGGCGTTGCATAACACGACTTCAACATTATTTTCTTTATCTGTTATTCCTTGAAAACTAATAGCCCGTTGTGAACGCCCGACTCGAGTCGGGTAGAATAACGGGCATGGATAGTGATGACACCTGTCACTAATCGACGTTAATCTAAAAGTCAATTGACACCACGATGTAAATGCGACGGGAATGTCGATTCGATAGAAATTTACCGTCGAGTTTGTCCGGTCGCGTGTAAGTGCTATTGTTTTAGCATAATGAACGTTTTATGCGCCGGCCGCGTATTACTCTTCATATTTACTGGAAGATAATGCCGTTATAAACGACCGTAGTTCATCATTGTGCACGTTGTAATTTCGCTCGGACTCGTTTTATTGGTAATTATTGTTCTTCCGACCGGGTTAAGCTGAAATTATACACTGTGGGAAGCGACCGGAGAAAAATCGCATCACTGAGCGACTACTCATCTCCAGAAACGTTTGTGTTACACCCGCAATGGACGGAACCCAGGCACTGTGTTGGAATTATTGGCGTCGGGTGGGCGTGCCGGCGTCGCGAGCACAGCGCCCCAACAGTATACTTCACGTCTTCTTTGATCTCTTCCGGTTTGCCAACCGACGACATTGCCATCGACCGCGTCATTAATTATTGTTAACCTCTTCGAGGGTGTGATCGGAGGCGCACCTATTGTTAGCCGTTGACTATAGTAACGCTGCCATATGTTTTGTACAATGTGTTCGCCCTACACAATCGATTGTACCGCGGGCCCACAGTGTCGCGTGTAAAAATATCAACCGTATCACGTTAAAACACATCGTCACTGTTCTACGTGGCGCCCACCATTAATTACTGTAATAAAAAAATCGTCATAGTCCATGACACGCGTTGCAACCGAGCGTGGAACTTGCACACATTGTGACCGTTTCAGACGTTTTTCGCAGTCGACAGAATTTTACCGAAAGACGACCGGTGCGGTTGAACGCGTCGCAGTGGAAATTATGAAATATTATCGTTTTGGTGTGTGTGTGCGTGCGCCTTGCCGCCAACGATGGTGAGAAGATTGAACGTTTCGTAACAATCGATGCAAATCGTATTTCACAGCCGGCCGCGGGGTCGACAGTGGTGTTGGTTGTGCCACGGCAAACAATCACGTTCGGTGCACGACCAGAGAGAATCGGTAATGTGCGCGTTTCCAAGGAAGTCGATACTTATGAACTCCAGTAGACAACTGCTCACCTAGCCGTCGACGGTAAATGCGACGCTCCACACAACGTTTACTTTGCACGGCACAAGTCATTCACATGCATTCGTCAGTCTATGAGTAATCGGACACATACACACTTCAGCAAAGGTGGACGTAAGGCTGATGTAGTGTTGTGTCGAAATAGACACAGTAATCGCGGCCAACGATTTTTAGTCTTGTACTTTTACAAATGCCGTGTAAAAAACTTTATGGATAAAAACATTTCCAAGTAACAATCAAAGTGCCGAGTTGTTACAATCAATTAGTAGTCACTTTAGCAATAACATTCGTACGTATCGGCCTGTAATAAAATCGTTGTGTTTCGATTGCGGAATCCTTTTGCAATTGTCAATTGCCGTTTGTGAACTGTTCAATTATCCACATTGGGACGGTCGAATAATGACGTGTGTTGGCTACAAAATCAAACGCCAAATGTACTTGTTGCAACAACTTCTGAGGTTTTCCATTCGGTAAGTCCACCGCGGTCGCAATTGTTTCTCGAAACTCTTGTCGAAAAACTGTGCGTGATTTGTTCGTAAAGTCGTAGTAATTGTTTCCGAAAATAATTAGGATTACTGAACAAAGAACGCAACCACAACCTTGACAAAAACGATCAATCAGATATCAAACGATCTCCAGCCGAGTGTAGAGTGACTGTGTGTCTATCGTCGAGACAATCAAAATAAGTCGACTTCCAGTACTCTATTGGTTCCATTGTGTTTTGTAAGCACAACGTTTTCCACGTTCGCGCGAGGCCCAAGATGCGATATGGTCGTAGGCACAAGACATTCGGTCATGACGAAAACAAATCGCCGACGGGTTGACCCGCTATAATAAACCTAATTTGCATTTCCATTATTATTATTACTAGTGTGTATTGTAATAATTCCAAGTTGCGTTATTGTTGGCAATTTTCCATCGACCCGAAAATAGAAGGTACACATGTGCGGTGCTAATTAAATTTCGAACGTGATCGATCGGAATGCTGTGGTGGACTTACTGCGGGTGTGTAACGATTAGCTTTTAGAATTTATTGCTCAAGACTCGACTCGTGACTCCGGCTCGGCATTAGGAATTAGACGGTCGATTCCCATGTCTTAGTGTTTTAGTCAGAACTCGGAAACCGCACCGCTACCGTATGACTTGTGTGTGACTCGACAAAAAAAAAAAAAANATTTATTGCTCAAGACTCGACTCGTGACTCCGGCTCGGCATTAGGAATTAGACGGTCGATTCCCATGTCTTAGTGTTTTAGTCAGAACTCGGAAACCGCACCGCTACCGTACGACTTGTGTGTGACTCGAAAAAAAAAAAAAAAGAGGAGGTTTTCAAATCCATTAAGATACTCGCCTCAATAATTATTGTCAGAGACGACAAATTACCGACGGCGGCGACGACGTAGGCGCTTATTTTCTCATGATTCGGTTTGCATCAATCGCGAGAGTGTCACGTTTCTGGTTACACGTCTTGCTGCCCGTCTGTCGTCTGATAAAACGGTCTTCCGCAGCCGAATCTAATTGCTCGCACTCGCCTTGTGTGACATTAGGCTTGCCGAAATGGTTACACGTCTCTTAATAATCTCCGACACGTATTGTCGTAAGACTCATAACCTGACATTCTCCGGAGGTACTTCCAAATACTCAACCAATCGGTTGAATCAACGGTATTTGCGGACGCGCTAAAACGTGGAATTTCTCCGCTGGCGATTCACACTGGACTAGTACATTGTCGAGCGATTACACAGAAAAAAGCCATAATAATTGTAGTGCATAGGTTTTTAATAAGTACACTCTGAAAGACATTACGGTCATCGTCACGGGAGTCCTAGAACTTAAAAAAATAATACGTCACATAGCTTCTTGAAATAAGAAAACAAAACATAACGAGACAAAGGTAATTCCAGGAGATAACCGAGCAATTTATGTATACCTAATAGGTACTACCAATATGTTACTAACATACATATGTAATATGAGACTTAATAGAGTGCTTAACGTCAGTTAAACGCTGCGACATGTTTTCTGTCCCGAAACAATGTTAAGAGTTCCATTAATTTTCACGACTACCGAGATTCAAAAAACGATAATCACCAAACAGCGGTCTGCCTAACACTTTAGTTAAAACAATTCATTTCTTTAATCCAAACATACGATTCAAATTACAATCACGATCCGGGTGTGCATTATATTTTTATAATCGTGCGAAGTAAACTCATTCGTTATAACCTATGCCTAATAATTGTTGCGCAATACTTATTATTGTAGTTGAAGTGTGATTTATTATGCTTTAAATAGAATAATGAATAAAAAAATGCAGCCATAAAAACTATTGACATCTAATGGAAACGCATTGGGTTTCAAAACCTAATTATGCGTAACATAATTTATGTTTTTAATTAATTTTTAAAGAGTTTTGAATATACTCGAAACACGGTAAGTGTTATAGTCCGATTGTTTAAAAGCGCGTGGACAGTTTCACACGTATATATTGTATAATTTTATTTTTTTAACGTTTTGATTATGCAACACAGTTATACACGAGTAATTAATACGAAATACTTTTTCCGATCAAATTTGTTTATTATTCTCAATGTTTATTGCTTTTAATTACTAGGTATGAATTGAAACTCTGAGAAATGCGATTAGGCCTGAGAAAAAAATGTATGACATAATAACACTCGCTAATAAGGCAAAAAACAAATCGTTTGAATTGAACATACACGAACAACTCTTTTATGTTGTGCGCCATTTGATTGTCGTCATGTAGACCACAGCTGGTACGTTTGTATTTATGCAATGCGATGAGTTTTTTAAGAGGTATTAAAAGTTAAGTCACGTGAAAGCAACCAGCTGCTGGCCTAGGGCGTCTACTACTCTATAATATTATTTACTATGTGATTATCAAAACGCAACGTGAATAGATAAAATTTGTAAGTGTTATGTAAACATTGCTGGATATACCGAAAACCGTAAATAGCATTTCACATCTATGTAATTGAACTGCTGTTTGATTGATTTCAAAATAGAAATTTAATTATAAAACTAAATTGCCACTTTTAAAGTACTAAGAGACCTAATGATACGTATAATAATAATAAAAGCCACTAGACAAGTAGTCGTTACGGATTTCCTTGAACTACCATAACAGTCGTATTGACCTTCTTATTGTCTGTTTCAAACGTGTGTGATATATTATGTCATTAACATATGAACTACATTAATGTCATTGATAAGCACACGTTCGACTATGTTAATAAAGAAAAAGTATTTAAGTAATAACACGCGTTCACAGGTTGACTAATGTTTTGTTTGTCTTGTTAGAACTTGAATGTTCCGAGTTTCACGAGAGTAAATTAAAATCTACGCAAATTGTCTACTTACATAATTTGTTACAAGTTTATTTTCATAAGATTGTTTACGTCGCGTGGATTGAAATTAAACCAATATCACGGTCACTGATACACACCAAAATTGCAAAAAACATGATTAAATGTGCGGTCACCTAGTTCGGATAAAAACCAGTCGAATTGTAGTGTTTTATTAATTCGAATAATAAAAACACGGCCGACTTGAGTTGATGGATGAACACAAGAGCGGTGACTTAAACGACCGACGGTGCCGGCGTGAAGCTCATTACTGGCGCGCGGCTACGGTAAACAGGTCTCTCGTGAATGGCTTTGAACGGAGAAGAGCGCCCTACCCGTTCGTCCTTCCTGGTCCATTGCTTCATTCACTCGGTTTACACTTTACGACGCCTACCGGAATGAAGTAAGCTCTGTGTGCACTTGCTCCTAACACCAAATTAGGATCTATAACATGTATATTGTTTTATTATCGAATAATGTACTTAAGACCCCGCTGCGAGAGATATCAGTGAGTTTTTTCAAGTATTTAATTTCTTTACAACACATACTGATTGACAGAACATTAGTTCATTACCGAGAGCGTTTTATTAATATTACCAATGGATACATTAAACACAAGTGTTGTCTAATAATGATTGAAGGTCTAACTCTTCGGAAAATATCATTGCTATTGGATATACTTAATTCAGTACACGTTATTTCCAAGTATAAAAGTCAACGTGATTAAGAAAGTGTTATATTAGTTAAACATATAAACATCCATTTTTAAAATATCCAAAAAGCAAAAACTTTATAACAAAATTCCAACATTCAACAACGTATTAGAGATTTTAGGTAGTTACTTTTCCTTTTGTATATTAAACATATTTATTTTGCTTCTTCGTCAAATTTGGACGTGTTTGATAAAAGTGCCCACAATAGAGAAAAGGCGGTACATCATTTTTGCTTTTCTAAAATTGAGTTTCATAATGTGCTTATGTTTTGCTCATTGACCAATAGTCGATCTTTAATTGCTAAAAAACTTTCCTTCTAACATAAATTTTATTTAAATGATTTTATGAAGGCGTTTGTCGACAGTTTAAAAAAATATCTCTTTTAGTTTGAGTTAACATTGATTTCATGAATATAAAATATAAATTTGCAAAAATATTTTCATAAGCCAATTAAAACTTAGTTAAGATTAACAGTACTTTACACAACAATAAAGGAGTTAACGAAACACGGTAACAGTTCTAATCGTCTATTTGAAAAATGATAAGTATTATAAGCTCTTAAAAGTAAAATATGCGCCTGTAGAAAAAATGTCCATAATCTTACGGATAGTAACATGTATACGCTAATATTTTTATGTTCGACATCATACATAATATTTATTATTTAATATTCTTTACAAGATAAGGTATATACAGAAAAAATGCGCAACAAACTAAACGTTTTCAACAGTAGATCAATGTAGGATCTTGATTGTGGGCATATAATTTATAAGGCTTCAGAGAGAGGTACAGTTAGTTGGCAGTAGCTCAGTTTAATTTATCTTGTGGTTTAATTATGACCGACCTGATATTATGAAATTTATCCGGATCTATAAAAAAAAGAGCAACTTGAGATTTTATTATGCAATAACCGACTTATTATATGGAAATTGGCCATGTAAAATAACCAGTTGTTTTCTTGTGGAATGCAAATGAAACGGTTGTATCAACAGCGCGGAGGTGAGGCCTTGTCGGCGGCGTAGGACTTTTTGGAAGGCTAAGACGTTGTGTTAAGTTTATCAGGATCGTCCGGAAATGCAGTCAAATACTTCTGTAAAATTATGATAAAATACGCTTACATTAGATAACATTATTTATCATCTATACTTTGAAAATTTAGGGCAAATTAATGTGACACAATTATTATCCATTATAGTTCACAGATTACCTATTCAAAGTATCGGGTTACAATAACGGTTTACAGTAACATTGTGCATATTAGATGCCGGGAAAATAACATGTGGTCAATACGACGCAACGACACGTGTTGGGCAAGTCGGGAAAAAGAGTTAGCTACACTTTTCATCTCGTTTATAACGAAAACGTAAATGTTGTCAAGGTGATGCAAAGGTTAAACAATATAAGCACGCAGAAAATAAATGTCAAATTTGTTTGACTGCAACTAGTAGGTCTATGAATTACATAAATTCACGAAATTTGAATAAATGGTACACAAATCATCTGTTAATCTTTCCATTCTTTGACCATTCGTAGTTCATTTTTTTGTGTCACAATGTCCTAAACGCAAATTGAGGTTTATCTACGGTCTATAAATTTCAAATGTCTTTTAACGCAGTGCGTAAACACTTGATTTTCTTTCCTTTTTTTTGTACAGAATATTTACTAAATTCACGTCAAATGGTGTTTAATTCGGTATAATCGTATATATAGGTACACGATTATAGGTACACGATTATAGGTACCTACTGAAATACTGACCTTTCTGTCACAGTTGGCCGCACTCGAGTTTTTTAACATCTTTTCCGACGTTCGTGTACCGCATTCGTTTTTACCATTATAAACAGATATGTGTATAGGACTATATGGAACATAACAAAATTATTTGTTCCAAATTCGCCATTATTTAATTTATTCCATACTATGATGCATTTATGGCTGAAACTCATCCGAGTTGAAAATTATTAGACCAGCTTTCATCTGCGAAGTACGTTTATACATTGTATAATATGTAGGTGAGTCCATAAAAGCAGTTCTATTTAATTTTAATTTTTTCATCACGCCCATTCAATTATTTTTATGATTATCTATACGTTTATATTTAAAATATAGATTTACGTTTTTACAATAGACGCTGACCGCAATTTTTAAAGCGCACAAAAAATACTTTTTTTAATTAATTATTATACGAATTAACATTATTATGTCTTACGAAATTTATTTATTTCCAACTATTACAAAAATGATCTCCTCGAAACTTAAAAGCATTTTCCTTAGTAGACTACTCCCAACAATTTTTGTTATTTAATTTTATTTAGATAACAAAAACAGGACCAGTAAATGTACGTTAAAACAATATTGTGGGAAATTATTTGCTAAACCTTACACTTTGGCAATCCTAAATATACATAGGTATTTCAATGTCGCAATTTAACCTAAATAATCCCATCGATGATCAAATTCTTTTCGATAATTTGTACTATTGTTTTAATTTTAATCGTTAATAAACTGTCAACACTAACTTTATAAGTACTTTCAACAACAAAACGTGGGGAAATTACTTGCCATAATTTTCCATGGTCTCTAAATTGTTATGTACTTATACGTGATTTATTTTTACATACAGATGTTCGACAATGCACAAATTTGTAGTTTTTATATATAGAGTAATCAATATTTAGAAACTTTGAATATTTTATGTTCAACAAATTGGAAATCATCTAATATTTAAATAGGTTATATAAATAATATAAAAATAGGTTGCTGAGGTACACTTAAATGAAAAATTTGTCAAATAGTTGTTATTCTTGTACTTCTGCTTTCATGTAATCGATTCAAATCGACTGCTATTGGTAGTTTTCCAATTGATTAATAGTTGCGTTTTCAATCCAGATTAGATCTTAATTCAGATATTGATAAAAGTCCATAATTAAAAATATATTTTCTGTAGGTATCTAAGTAGTATGATACTTTTTAAGTTTAGAAGAAAAATTCTAAGTCTATTAGACAATACAGTTTTAAATCAATGAAATTATGTTTAAAAGTAATTTTATGTTATACGAAGTTAGTTTAATCACATCCATTCAAATAAAAATGTATTACAATAATTTTAAATACATTTTTTTTTTTGAGTTATTTTAATAATTTTGCTATTTTTTACTTTTAATTTTGTAGCTGTAATTAAGCAAAATTTATCAATTATTCATTTTTAGTTTTCTATAGTTCAACTTTAATGATAATTTATTTTGGCTAAGTATTTACGACATGGTAATGTGTACATACTACAATGTTTCTCTAGAGCGTACAGAGGCTTCTTATAAGCGTTTTTTATGGATAATCCTACATAGCACATGCGTTATTTTACAACAGTATAATAATGCTACTTATTTAATGTTTAGCATAGAAAAGGATTGTTTTGTTTTAACTTTAAACACAACTTCTAATTTGTTTCTAATTTCAAAGAATTCCTTTTAAGCATGTTAAATTTATCAGGATAGGCGTCCTTCATAGACGTAATATAAACAAAATATTTTAATTATTTTTTTTTTATTGTGTCCAACGCAGTCAATATAATTTTATAACAATATATTTATTAAATTAATATTTGCATGCTTAACTCTCTCAACTTGTGCTGCGTCTTGATAAGTTAATAATGAATAATATAATAATAATAATTATTACGTTTAATCAAATGATATTATCTCGTAGAGTAGTAAAAATGTACTTAATTTATCACCGACACAATTAGAGTATTGTTCTAGGGGAGGGATACACAATACAGAAAAATGTTCACAAATAAAAAAATATTGAATTTTCATAATATAATTGTTATTTTCTAGAAAAGCCACCCTCCTCATATCCTTTAATTGTGTTTTTGTGGCATATGTAGAATAATTTTTGAGGGTATTCAAATTTTTAAAGTAATTTTTTCGTTTTTTACTCAGTAAATGAGTATTTAAAATTATATGGATATTTGTATTATATTAAAATAGGTTAAATGAAAAACAATTTTTAACGTTACAGACCCGGAAACGCATTAATCACTTGTGTTTTTTCTCTATTATGTACATATGCGTGCATTTATTTTTAACGTTATTACAAGATCGGTCGGATGAGCACGTCGTGAATCTATTGAAAACTCGACGGCTGTTCGTCGGCGATAAAAATAAGTATAATTTATTTATTTATAACAGCAAATAATTTATGGACATGATAATTAAATAATTATAAGTCAACTTCATTTATTAGTAATGCTTTTTTATCTGTTTTATGTGTAGAGTAGCATTTAGAAAATTTGCCACCTATGAAACATTTTGTAATATGGTAATAAATTAAAATAATTATATATTTTTTACTTATCACCTCAAAGAAAAAAAAATTTAACAATAAAATGATTACCTGACATTCAAAAATGTATATAATACTGTTTTCTTTAAGTAGTTCTAGGGTTAATCAATGTCATTTATCCATGATAACCTAAATTTTTTTTAATTTTCAAAGTTTTTTCTTTATATTATATTTAGATAAAAAAAATCGTTAAATGTAACTTTCAATTCTTAGAAAGCTGATATAATCCTCAAATCACTTTTTTTAACTCGCAAATGTTTTTTTGTGTATATATAAACACTGTTGGATTCAGGGTGTGCCGTTTAACGTTTCACTAGAACATTATGTGTTTAAGTTGTGCTATAATAACATCCCTGCAGAGTTGTCAGCCGCAACTTACAATGAGGAGGGGCAAAGGAGAAGTATAGAATTGTCTAATAAGTATAATTGAAAATTTCCCTTAACCACTAATTCTTCTTTCGCCGTTCGTTCCTGTTATGTGAGCCTAATGTTTACACTTGTAGCCGAATGAATCATGTTGATTTATTTATGGTCACTCAGAGAACAGCCTCTATTGTTTTAGATTATATTTTGTAAGAACAAATAGCTAAGATGCTATGTTTTTAACTTCGATGAGAAGCTGAGAGATATTTTATAGATGAATACATTTGTAATTTATGTTTATTAAACATTAATTAAATATGACTAATTTTTAATTTTTAAATTTCTGCGTTAAAATTACAATACAAAATATTGAATGTCAATTTCAAACTAAATTATTTTCTATAATATGCATTGTTCATATATATTATAAAACTAGAAATCGGGATATAATTAAGGAAATGAGAGTAGATGTTGCTTTTGGAATAATCCAACAATTCTTTCTAAATATTAAATACTATCTACAGATTTGCATCGAAGCGTTTTCTATGATTTTAATCACTGTCAGATACTATCTATATTAGTCCCAACTATGCCGCGTTCTGACCATGTCGGGTTGGGATTTTTTTATCTTTTTTCCTTTGTAACTGTCACTACTTTTTTCAGCTCTTACTGAACCAATTTCTTTCTACAATACATCAAAAGATCAAAAGTTAGTTCTAGTTTAAGACATTGCCCTCAAAAATTGAAAAATTTATCCTTGTTACCAGTATATGAAAAATAAATTAATATTTTGAAAATCGGTTAATTTCGACATTTATTAAACTTTTTTTTACTTAAAATTTTCAAAACTTTTTTAAAAATTTATAACTCAAAATAATATTTTAATAAATGCCTTAGGTATTTAGGTTTTATTTGGTATCAATTTTTTAAAACCTGTTGTTTAGCCTGATTATTAAGGGGTTTTAAAATAAAAACATTTTATGAAAAGTTAATATATTCAACTTAACTTTTGAAAATGTTCTATAAAAATTCTGAGATTCAAACATATGTTAAATTGAAGCTTCTATTAAATATTATAAGTTTAAAAAAAACGTTATCCTGTTGACTTATCAACTATGTGGAAATGACTGCTGTAGCAAAAAACATACTATTTTTGCATTAAAATGTTCGATTTTATATATTATATTTTCATCTTTAAATTGTTATTACTATTTTAAAAAGATGTGGATTATTACAATTCTTTTTTAGTAAATATTTAATATATGTTTTCTTTATCCACATTTTTAAAAATTTTCCTCTTATAGTGTGGGGTTTAGAAATAAAAAATTAATAAAAACAAAACCCAGCACAGTGAGGTCGCGGCACATTGGTGACGTGGCATAGTTGGGTCTAGTATAGAGGATATCTAATGATAGTGATTAAAATCACTATCATAAAAAATGCTTCGATATAAATCTGTAGATAGTGACTAATTTAAAAAATTGGTGGAAGCTGAGAAGATAATAATTTTACTATTGTGTTTTTTTTTTGTGTATGTTACCACTTTTTCTCACCTCTCACAGATTCTGATTGCTTTAAACGATACGTCAAAAGATTACAAATCGTATCTAATCGATGACATTACCCTCAAAAATTGAAAAAATTTCCCTCGTTCCCCGTAAATAAGGGAAAATTAAAAAAATTACAAATATAAAAATGGCTAATTTTCGAGAGTTTTTCAATTTTTTTTAGTTAAAACTGCTATAACTTTTTAAAAATGACCGAATCAATATAATTTTTTTTTATAGATACCTTAGGTATTTACCCATCATTTGATATATTTTTGTAAACATTTGACCATTTACCAAGCCCACGAGCAGGGTTTCAAAATGGCAACTTTTTCACTAAAAATTAACTTTTAAAAATGTTCCGGAAAGACTGACACTTTTATATATACCTTAAATTAAAGCTTGTGTAATATTCTTTAATTTGAAAAAAAATTGACCTCAGGACTTGTCTTCATGGTGAAAATGACTACCGTATGCAAAAATATACTATTTTTGTGAAAAAATTCTTGTTATTATTTTTTACATTTTATAACATTATGTTGCTAACTTTTTAAAAATTGCATGATTCAATTCTATTCTTTAATGATAAATACTTTATATATACCTCTTTCATTCGACATACTTTTTTTTTAAATCGGATCATACCCCTTTATACAAGGAGAGTCAAAACTTTAAACATGCGTATTGAAACAAGGACATTTTTAATTAAATTTTTTAGTGTCAGTATTTACGGAACACTTCCAAAAGTTAAGTTGAAAAAGTTTATTTCTTGTGAAAAAGTTGTCATTTTTGAATCCTCCACCTATGAGCAAGAAAAGAGACAGATTTATAAAAAAAATATATCAAATATTAAATAAAGTCATTATGCATCTATATAATAAAAAGTTATTTTGATTTAATCATTTTTGAAAAAGTTTTAAGTAAAAAAAATTGAAAAAATTTCGAAAATTAGCGATTTTTAAATTTGTATTTTTTTTTAGGTTTCCCCCATTTACTGGAAACGAGGGAACTTTTTTCAATTTTTGAGGGTAATGTCTTCGACTAGATACGATTTGTGATCTTTTGGCGTATTGTTCATCAAAATCGGTTCAGCAAGAGCTGAAATTGAGCGTTCACAGACACAAAAAAAAAATAAAAATTTGTATTTTTTTATTTTGTAATCTAGTTAAATATGTATGTTACTTTAAATGCTGTAACTTAAAAATTAAAAATATCTAAATCTCATAAATACCAAAATAATTTTCTTAACATAATTATTATTTTAATAGAAATTGTGTGGCTAGCGTTAAAAGATTCATTCTGTATAATAAAATGGAAAAAATAAGATTTTTGCAAATAAGTAATGACAATATACAATATGCAATATAAAAAAAAAATTAATAAACATCTCACTTTACATGTTGTACGGCAAATAATCAATCTTATAAAGCGGTTTAAAAGTTGATTGAATTTCAGGGGAGTAATGTGTTTTGATATCATATTCATCAAGTTCATCATTAAGATTCTCTAGGTTAAATTCTGTAATTTTATCATCCACAGCATCCACGTCTTTATAATATTCTATATTATTTTTATTACTATCATTCATACTGGCATTCAAACTAGCATTGTATATTTCAGAATGTGCTTCCATATTACAAATACGATCTAAAATAAATAAAACAAGAATTCATAAATGTGCACGAATTGCAAATAATTGCTTTGGGCATTAAAATGATAGAGATTTCTAAATACAATGCTCATTATTTTTATTTTGTCTTTGAAATTTGTTTGATTTGAAGATCAGTTAACAGCAAAAAATAGAAAATTATTTAGTTAACCTACTTAAAATTAAATTAATTTTATTTAATTTTTTATATGATCATCGCAAATTTTATTCTCTATATTTAAACCATCGGAACAATAACAAAAATAGAACTTATAAAATATGTATTTTGAGCTATGTAATTTTCGTTCAAAATTTTAAAAAATATGAATCCTTAAAAAAATATTGGATAAAACTTTCATAAATTATTTATACAATTTGAAGTGTGAAATTGACATTTATAAGAAGCAAAACTCTTTATTTCAATTATCTTATTATTGAATTATTTTTATGCCCGACGACGATACATGGGCTCAGCTTTTTTTTGTTTAATTTATAGCAGATAATACATATCAATACATAAGTACATAAATAATATAAATTATTGAAAAAGTACTACATTGTTTCTTACCTAAAACTTTGTAATTAATAAATTGATTACAATTTAAACAATTGATAGACCTAATCTTAAAATTTTTTATAATATTACTAAAATGGCTACTCCATTTTCGAAAGTCATTCATATAGATACCAACTTTTTGAATATTTTTTTCTAATTGACTTCTAATAACATCAGCATTATTTTCAGTAATATTTTTTTTATTTAGAACTATATCACTTGTAAAGTATAATTTGTTTCTGATGAAGAAATTCGAAAGTATTTTAATTAATAATTTATTATTTTGATTATCACTTTTGGTCAACTTTTCTTGTATAGTATAATTTTGTAAGGCATTATTAAATCTGTAATAGACGTCGTTTATCAGAAATTTCTTATTATAACTGATTAGAGAGATGAATTCTATTATATATGCTTTTATTTGTTGGCCCATATTAATAAATGTCGGTTTTAACCAAAATGTTACACTATCTGAATTTTCTGAAGATACAACTTGAATTAAGGTTAAAAAGTTACGAATAAGAATAGCTATTGGTCGAAATGTAGCCACCATTACCATCATCATGTATGCTAAAACATCTACAGAATTAAAAGTATATTTCATATACTCAAATACATCTTGTATAGTTAAACGAGTACTGTCAGAGCATTGAATATCAAGTGGAGTGAATCGAAGTAGGTTTAATTCTATGTGTTGATTATTATCTATTTTTATAGTATCGTTTTTGTTGTTAAATATCGGTTGAGTCATTATATTGTAAAATAAAATATTTTTCGGATGAAAATGTTTGTATGTATTTCTTTTAAGTGATTGGCCTAACATTGTTAGTATCTTATTTTTAAGATAATAATTTATATTTAATAGATTAGTAGTAGTATACTCGTATTTATCAATTGGAGTATCACAATTAACCATATGATAATGAAACAGTACGTTATTACAATTTTTATTGATGTAGATGTTCAGTTGTTCTTTAATTGCGAGATGAATAATCTTATAGCCTTCTAATACATTATTAGCATCATGCTTTTCACCGTTATTATTTTGAGCAATCATATTTAAAGAGTCAGAGACGTTATTTAAGTACAAATTTATCGTTATCAAACTATAAGGAAATTCAACTGCATAGCTGTTCATCACGTCAGCCAAGAATAACATAATTACTTTACTGTGTGTTTGAAGTGCCTTGCCATAGATCAAAAGATTTTCAATAGTGATATTATCTTTATTTTTTTCGCATTCTAACAAATATCTTTCATTATGGTTAAAAAAGTTTAGAAAATAACGAGTATAGGAGCACTGAAAATAATTTACATGTAAACTTAAGCTTATTTTTAACGACATCATTAATATTAAAATTAATTTTTTTTTCATTTTGTCACTTAAATATTTTTAGTTGATTCCTAAATGAATTTAACTTGAAGAAATTTGCGACACTAGTTGTAAAAAAATGTAAAATATATTTTTTATGAATTTTTTGTGATATTTATTTAAGTATACGTGTTCATCATACAACACATTAAATTATTATTATTATTAACTGACGTAATTATTAGATCTACGAATTAAAATACTGAGATCAATATTTTTAGCTCTGTCAATAACTAAATTTTTTTTAGAATATCTGTACTTAAAATTTAAGAGAATGTTAATATTGAAAACAAATTACAATATTAATCTTATTTTAGCTTCGAAGTTGAGAAGGATTTGTATTTTGATGGTGTACGTTTATTTTTATGTCTGTCCATAAAAGCTCTCATTTTTTTCTTAAATGATTAATACCTCAAAAAAGCCTGACGCCGAAAATAGGAAAAAGTCCTCTCAATATATCAAAATTTCTCTACGATAAAATAACATCATTTCCAAAAAAAATTTTCTGCATTTCAAAACAGCTATAACTTTTTTTAATAACACTGATTATAATTAAATGTTATAGAATATACTTGAGATAATAATTTTCTTTTAGTACGTTTCTTTTTATAAAAATCCGATTAAAATTTTAAGTACATGGAGAGTTTGAAAGATACTACCTACGCATGTATAAAAAAATTGTTTATTTGTGCTGGATTTTTTCTTTATTTTTTTCTTTATCTTTTCAAAAGTACTAATTTTCTCGAACTCTTTATAAATATGCTTCTGTAAGTTAAAGTAATAGTTCTAAATTTTACATTTTTTATTATTATTATAATGTTTTATATATGAAACACTTAAATAATCAGAAAATAAAAATAATATTAATAATTTTTTTATTTGTTTCTTTTAATTCAATGTTTATCTCAATTTTTCAATCAGCTTATTAAACAAATATAGATCTAATTAAGAATATCGATAACAACTTTTAGACCAACATTTCTAAAGTCAAAACTAAGTAAACACTTTTCGGCCGTACTCTTCCTCTCATATAGAAATAAATAAGTCAACAACTTCCGAAATACCGGTCCAAAAATTGTAATTTTCTTAATTAGTTCACTATCTATTAAATAAACTAGTTAATTAGGGTTGTTACCATTTGAGAAACTAAAGTTGACCACCTCATAAAAGATGAACAAAAAAAAAACTCAATGATTTAAAAATTGAGAGAAACATTGAACTAAAAGAAATATCAAAAAATGGTAGCACAGTAGAGTAGCAGCACATTGTGTACCTGGCATAGTTGGGACAAGTATGGATAATATCTGAAAGTGATTAAAACCACTATCATACGAATCGCTTCGAAGCAAATCTGTAGATAGTGTTTAATATTTAGAAATAATTGCTGAATTATTCCAAAAGCAACATCTACTCTTATTTCCTTACTTATATCCCGATTTCTAGTTTTATGTTATATATGAATAAATATTTAATAAATTTGTTTAATTTGCACATAGAAGACAGGTTGTCGAAACATTTTTTTTTTAACTTATAGTACGTAACATAAGCTTTATTTTAACATATATTTAAAAAGACACAATATTTCCCATAACATTTTCAAAAGTTAAGTCGAACAAATTGGTATTTGTAAAAGAGTTGCTATTTTGAATTCATCCCTATGGACAGGTAACAATAGTATTAAAAAAAATATATATCAAATAAATGAGAAATTTCTAAGGTTATTATATTAAAAAAAAAAATTATTTTGATTTGTTAATTTTTGTAAACAATATGGCATTTTTAAGCAAAAAATGTTTAAAAAATTTCAAAATTTACTGATTTAAAAAATCGAAATATTTTTGAGGATTTTCCCCATTTATAGACAATGAGGTAAATTTTTTCAATTTTTAAGGTCAATGTCTTTAGTTAGATACGATATGTGATCTTCTGACGTATCGTTGAAAGAAATCAAGCCGGTGATTAAATTTGTTTTTATTATTATAAAATTTTTCTAAATAGGCCAATGAAAAAAAAAATTCCAAATTTATCTTTCTAACTTTAGATAATGCGATCAAATAAAGGTTAAGATACAGTCTACTTCGAATAAAAGTTAAATAATTATTCAATTCTTAATTCTCGAGATTACAAATAATTTTGAGTAACATTAAAAAATAACCAAATTTATACATAACGGCCAAAATCAGGCCTTTAAACTTTAAATAATTATGTAAATATTTGAATATTACCACAATAATACCACAAATGAAACATTATAAATCAATAGAAATGCAAAAATATTAAGAAGCCATAGAAATGAAAAATACATTTTAAAACCATAAAAGTGCAAAATTATGAGAAGCCATAAAAATGAAAAACATTAAGAAGCCCTAGAAATTTAAAAATTGAGAAGACATAGAAATGCAAAAAAACATTTTAAAACCATAAAAGTGCAAAAATATTGAGAAGCCATAAAAATGCAAAACATTAAGAAGCCCTAGAAATTTAAAAATTGAGAAGCCATAGAAATGAAAAAAACATTTTAAAACCATAGAAATGCAAAAAAACATTTTAAAACCATAAAAGTGCATCGTAGAAATGCAGAAATTGAGAAGCCATAGAATAATTTGTTTACTCAAATTTCTTTAGAGAGTATTTGATATTTTTTTTTATTACTCAACTATAAAGAAAGTTGTATAAATGGTATTAACCATTAAAGATATCTGATTGCTAAGCATTCTTTATCGTGTGCAGCGTGTTTTAATAGTAAGGCCAGATAAGTAATCTTTTTTTAATATCTAAAACCAAGAGGTCTTCACGGCTTATAGATTATTATTTTTGTCTTTCAAATACTATCACATATTTTTTTAAATATTAATTATATATTAATATTCCAACGTCGTTTTAACTTGACTGAAATGAGTACTTCATTTAAGTCAAGTTTAGGTCACCTTTCATCATAATTAGCAAAAACTGTACGCATCTGAATCACTCGAATTTAAAATGCATTATTTGTTTATTTGGAAAAATTGTTGAGCAACTCTAAAAGCCTTGAATGGAAATGCGCGGAAGGCGATAGAATAAGCCCAACAGCTGATCAACGAGACGCTCCCCAGAGATGGAGGTGGATAACTTGGGCCAAAATATTTATTACAGTCAAGGTAAACGAGTTATCGCCGTTAACTTAAATTAGAGCAGCGGCAGGTAATGTTTAGTAGTGCGGTTTGGATAGGGTAATGTGTTAATATGTTTTTCGTGCATTAACAGTATGTATAATAATATAAGTTAATCCTTATTATTACGTAAATTGAACAACTAGCAGTGAGATAGATGATATATCATCAAAAATAATATAATTACAAAAATTAATAAAACTCAGTGTCACCGACAGATAGAGATACATATTTCATGCATAGGAGTACATTAAGTACTCCGAAAATTAATTACTAAGTAGCGCCACATATATAGATTTCTATGAAATCTATTTAATTTTTTTTTGTCACAATTCAATTTCGTTGTTAGGTTATTAGGTCAATTACGCACATCTATCAAAGTTTTTACACAACCATTTTTTGTAGATGATAATTTAATAAAAAAAATACATACATTTACTTTATGACAATATAATTAACTGGCAGATGCGTAATATACATTAAAAATAGTCGTTATAGCCGACCAATTATGTGGCAGTTCAACACTTATTTAAACGTATGATAAATTAAAAACTAAAATCAATATTTGTTGAAAAGTCATAATTCAACCATAATAGACAAAAATGCATGCAAGATGAATAGCCAATTCCTTAAAAAATAAAAGTTAACATTACAATAGCCTCACAAAATTATGTTCGTTTTATATATTCATTAAGTGATGATATTATTAACGATATTAAAAATGTTTTACTATTATTGTTTATTAGGCCAGTCAACGAAGGAGTAATTTTGGCGAATGGCGGAAAAAATTCCCAACCAAATTTTTTTTTTTTTTAAGTGGAATTAAGATATGTTTAATGACATACTAAAAGTTCTCATCGATTGGACATGAGCTTTTTTAATTTTCTCAAAAAATATTTAACTTACAAAAAAAAGTTTCATACAAAAGTTGTTTAACAGACAATTATTATAAAAAATTGTTTAAAAGACACAATGTTATAAATTCATGTGCGTGTATGTGTGAGTTTATTTATTTATAGTATCATTAAAGTGTAGTGTATATTAAGATACAGCCGATAGAGTAGGTAATTTATTTGACGCTATATTGTTTAAACCCAACTAAACGCTAAATTGTACATTCCCAAACAACAATTATATTATGTCAATTGCCACCGAAATTTCTGTTAATTTTGTTATATTTTTTCATTTAAACAAATATTTTTGAGTTACATTACATTTAATATGAGTACTAAAATTTATTTTCCGTTTTTTTCATTTTACCGTTACTTTTTATCATGTTATACTTACATTAGACACAATGTTATAAATGCATATGTGTGTATGTGTGAGTTTATTTATTTATTGTATCATTAAAGTGTAGTGTATATTAAGATACAGCCGATAGAGTAGGTAATTTATTTGACGCTATATTGTTTAAACCCAACTAAACGCTAAATTGTACATTCCCAAACAACAATTATATTATGTCAATTGCCACCGACATTTCTGCTAATAATAAAGATAATTGTCATAAAACGGCCTTTAGTCAGGTGCTGAATCTGGTAAAAATTGTGGCTGCCGAAAAACAGGACTTAAATGTTTTATTAAATATGAACATTGCAAAGGTCAATGGCGTACAAATTCAATAGAAATAAAGATTGAAGATTAAGAAAATTGTACTTTTGTTGAAGATATATTCTATCAAAATTTAGAATGGGAAAATGAATAAGAAAATGGAAAAACATTTTGTTTGATACATTTGTCAAATAACTTTATAGTGGAGAAATCCTCCATCGATTACATACTATGCACTAGTAATGCATATAACTTGTATTTAGGATATAAATAAGGAAATAGGAGATCATGTAGCTTTTGTAATAATCCATTAAAATTTTAAAATCAAACACTATCTACAGATTTGCATCAAGGCGTTGTTTTTTGATAATGATTTTAATCACTGTCACATATTATCTATACTGCATCCAATTATACACACTGTGCCGGGACACTGCTGGTTTTTTTTTAAATAGCGATTAGTTGAAATAGTAGCAATGGGTTTACTTTAATTATTTCATTATTAATTTTAACAATAGAAGTTATTGAAGATACAGTTATAACTTTATTTGACCTTTTAAGATTTATATCATGAAAGTTATTATCCACCATTGAGTTTACTAGAACAAGACCAATTTTAGACACTTTATGACAATTAATTTTATCATTACCAGAAATTCTGGCTGGATTGACAAAAGAGAACATGAGGTAGATGAAATGAGGAGATCAGTACAATAGGCGAGAGTGTAAATGGGTAGGTAGAAAGTTTTAAGTATTTAGGATCAGTAGTGCAAAAGAGCGGTGGTATTGACGAGAATGTAAGACACAGGATTAAGTGCGGGTGGTTGAAGTAGAGAGAAGCGTCTAGTGTCTTATGCCATAAAAGAATTCCAATGAGGCTAAAAGGTATATTCTACAACAATGTAGTGAGACCAGCTATGCTGTATGGTTCAGAGTGTTGGGCGGTTGATAAGAAAGTAGAGCAGAGAATGAGTGTAGCAGAGATGAAAATGCTTAGTTGGATGAGTGGAGTGACTAGAAAAGATAGAATAAGGAACGAGCATATAAGAGGGAGTATAAGTGTAGCGTCAATCATGGATGAGATGAGAGAAAATAGACTTAGATGATTTAGTTATGATGTTATGAGGAGAGAAGAATCGGAAGCTGTAAGATCAGTTATAGAAATGAATGTTGAAGAAAGAAGAGGTAGAGGAAGACCAAAAAATAGATTGAGGGATGTTATTGAATGCGATATGAGGACAGCTGATGTGAGCGTAGAAGTAGATGTGAGAGATCGTGTCAAGTGGAAGCTTAGGATAAGGGTGGCCGACCCCAAGTAGTTGGGATTAATACAAAAAAAAAAGAAAAAGATTACCAGAAATTCCAGTGGCAATTGACATAATATGATTGTTGTTTGGGAATGTAAAGTTTAGCGTTTAGTTGGGTTTAAACAATATAGCGTCAAAACAATTACCTACTCTATCGGCTGTATCTTAATATACACTACACTTTAATGATACTATAAATAAATAAACTCACACATACACACACATGAATTTATAACATTGTATCTAATGTAAGTATATCATGATAAAAAGTAACCGTAAAATGAAAAAAATTGGAAAATTCAAAGAGAGGGCTCATCTCAAGGTATCGCTCTGGGTGGGGCCCATATACCAGCCCTGATCCTAACCAAGCGTTTCAAGGAAAATAATATACTTGTTATTAAATATTAGTTTTCACTAAATAAATCGTAATTATTTAGGAAAAGTAATATTATTTAATAATGAACATCATTTTTCTTAAATAATGAAGCAATATTTTCGAGATATTCAACCAAATAACCATTTGCATCACAATAATACTCTAATACACAAGGTATTTTTCATTTTTTTAAGCCTCAACAAATAAATACACTTATCATGAATTCGTCTTTATTTTAAAAATACTATTAGGTAACAAATTAAATAAATAAATTTATATCACAACTTAACAATTTATCATTAAAAATTAATTTAACAATAATATGTAGATATCATAGTATCAATGAAGTTTAATTTAAAATAATTTAAATTGATAACTAAATAAATAACTATGTAAAATCGTATAGCTTATTTTAAACTAAAATGTATACTCTATTTTAAACAATTTTTTCGTTAAAATCATAAGACTATTCGAATTAATAATAAGACAACATAATTATTTTCTATTAGTTAGACATTATATAATATATTTTGTTTGATTTCAATTTATATTAAAAAAATATATAAATAAATAAATATTGAAAATATCACTTAGTTTAAAAACTATTGAAATATCATAAAATTAATATATAAAAATTAAATAGTACTTTATGAATCTATACTATTTTTATAAAAATAAATTTCAAAAAACATAATCCTGTCTAAGGTCCACGTGGTTTCACTGGATAACATTTCTTCATTATGTGATTTAAGATTTTCGGACATACTTTGATACCAGTTCAGCAAACTTGATGTTCGAGTAAGTATCTGCAAATGATCGTCGAATTGGAGTATTTTTTAAATTTAATTTTAAATATTAAAATTCGTTGATAAGTACAGATATAAATGTATGAATTGAAGTTTATAATTTTTAATATTCTGATATTGTATGTTCCATTATAGAAAAAATATTACACAAACTTCGATTTAATTATATACTAATAGCAGTTTTTATGAAACTTATTCAGTGGTGCAGACAGCGGCGTATTTATATAAAGGCAATACAGACAACTGCCTACAGCGGCATATTTTAAGGGGCGGCAAATATTGAATCCCAACAAATTTATAAAAAGCGAGTTTTTTTTTTTTATAGTTGTTATGACAAATTGACTTCCTAATGATTATCAAAATCGTTTTCATTTATTGTGTATTTAAGATATGTATATTAGTCGCTACAAGCAATTCATCTTATGATTTAATAATAAACATAGATTTTATTGTAAATATTTTTAAATACTTTTTTCTTTTTTGTAGGAAGAATTAGTAGTGTTATGGCAAAAATATATAAAAATGAGCCCTCTCCGTCATAACGTAATGAAGGGCGGCATATGTTTAAATGCCTATAGACGAAAAATATGTGAATAAACTCCTGGGTACAGTGGATGGCACTACGGCAAATAGTTTTCGATTTTTTTTTCAAAAGTTGGTATAATATTCTAGTCATTGTCATAGACAGAATAAACTGATATAATAATAAATTTTTGCAAAACAAGATATTTTGTTTTACTATTTTACCAAAAAAATCAAGGTTGTTATGAAATTGGAAGTGACAAAAATTGTTGTAATATATATTCTGGGGATGTGAGAATTATTATATACAAAAAATTGTATGTATAAAATAACAATTACAAGGCAAGCATAGATAAAGAATTACATGAAGGAGAGCAACATTTTACTAGTCATTAAATAATGTTTTTTTTTTTGTAAATTTTTTCTTGCAAGGACTTTTTAACAAGCGATAATTATTAAAGAGGAAGACATAAAGTCATTGATAAGATGTCGAAAGATGGTGTAACAGGCAAAGACTTTTAAAAACTTAGCGTATATTCACTAATAAATGTACCTTTATAACACTGTATTATAAAATATGCTATGTATTGTAAATAATCAGAGATGTGACCATAATGAAAATTTAGGACAGTCCGGTTATTATAATTGGCTATACAAAGAAAAAATTTCTGGTGAGAAAAAAGAAGTTATCAAAAAAACGTGTTGAGAGGGCCGAAATACATGAGCATCCAGATATTATAATACGAAACTGAGATGTATTCACGTATCCGTCTCTAGGTTCGTTTTTATTTGGTCATTAATTGAAAATAAAACATTTTACGAGTCCCGTGCCTAAAGTTGCCTCTGAAAACAGGGTAAGCTAGGGCCTGTCTTACCTAATCACTGGGCACGCCTTTGCAAATTATGTAATTTTTTATAAAAAAAACTAATGAAACATAATTTTAATGGATTTTTAAATACCTCGTTTTGCATCATAAAAGACTTGACTTTACCCATGAAACCATTGGACTGTAGTATATTTCCTTCTTCACTTTGTTTAGATATAATATTGCTGTCATTGTAATGACTAAATAATTGTACGCTCATATTGACAGTTGAATACTCCAACAAGGTTTGATCAACAATACCTAGTACATCTGATTCAACTGAACTAAAAAACTCGGACAGTGATACACACTGAGTTCTTGATAATATTCTATAGCCTTTTATGCGATTTCCAGAAGGGCCATCTATAATCACTACCCAATCACTGATGTACTTAGAAGCCGAATTTTTATGCACGACTGTGTTTATGTGCTCGCTGTAATTATCCCGAATAATATAAACTCCACAAGGACGACATCGCACCAAACGCATTTTAGGAACTTCTGAAAAATAATCGTCTTTTCACAATATTTTAAAAATTAATTCAGGAAATTTTTTATCAAATTAAAATAAATTTTACATTCCTTTAATCGCTCGAATATATAAAAATAAAATACCATATAACATTCATACATACACTCATTAAGTAGAAACTGACCAATAATTCTTTATTGCTTTATTAACACTTATTACAAATATAGTAAGAAAGAATTTGAATATCACATCAGAAAACAAATTGTTTATCTTTCAGTTATTAAGTAATAATGTCATCTCATGTTACCATTTGAATATAAAAACATAAAACGTTCTTAGTAGAAACATTATTAAACAAAATTTCAATAAGTTTTTTAAAAAAATATTACAAATATACGCTATACTTAACATACGTATGTTAGCATGTATGTTATATAAGCAAAATAAAAATACTTTCCAACAAATAATTCTATGAAAAATAAAGTTTTACCTGGAATTGATTGACTGAAATTTTTATTGTAGCTAACAGGACAATTGATAATTGTAGATGGTTTGTTTTCGATTAAAGATTTGGTTACTACAATTTCTAACCAAATTATTTCTTCTAAAGACCAACCTGATATTTGAAATGTTTCACATTGAAACATTAAAGAATTAGCTATTTTCCGATAAAACCATTCTACATCAATTCCTTTTGTTAATACCTGTACACACAAGTTAAAAAAACTTATATTAATTATTATGGTTATACTACAATGAAATTATAATTAAAAGCAAATATTCAGGAACACCCAGAGGAGACAGGAGAGCATTTCCTGAGATATTTTGTGTCATTAACAATAAAACTAACACAAAACATATAATCCTAGCTACCAAATCTTTTGATTTGATTTTAAGTTTTTGTCCATGTAAATTAGTTTCCTGTTACCAACAGAATTTTAAAAACCAAAAGTGTTATTCGGGAGAGATAGATAGGTTTTGTACGGCCAATGGATAAAGAAATAAAATGTATAGTCTGTTTATTTCAAATAGTTAATAGCATTAATAGTAAAGTTATTGATGTTGAATTAAGGCAGATATTATGTAATAGGTATATTGATAAATATTAGGCCATAATTAGTGGTGTAGTAAACGATAATACAATAAAATTTTGGGGGAAGCTGGTGAAACATTTAAATTCAAATAGGAATTTATAACACACACAAATTTTTTAATAACTTTTTTTCTTGATCATAATTCTTCTAAAATACCATTTTCAGTAAAAAATTAGTACATTCCAGTAAGATATCGCATGAATTTGGGGGATATATATAATTTATGGGTGTGTAGAAGAAATTACCTCAATGGCTTAAACAGTTGTCAATAATTTTTGCNCATTCCAGTAAGATATCACATGAATTTGGGGGATATATATAATTTATGGGTGTGTAGAAGAAATTACCTCAATGGCTTAAACAGTTGTCAATAATTTTTGCATCCCTCAGGAAAATAAGATCCCTGAATATTCAAATAATACACAAAACGAAAAAATATGCTCAATATCTTTATTTAATAAGTAAATTGATCATTTATTAGAAAAATGTATAATTAAAAAACAAAACCTTATGTTAACTCATTTAATAAAAATAGTTTTTAAACTAAATTTATCGACATTTAAATAGTAATAATATTATTACCTTATTTTTGACTCCAAACCACTTAACTTCAGCTAAATATTTATTATTGTTTAAACTAGAACATTCGTCATGATACAATGCATACATATTTACATCAGCTTCGACATAAGAGTGTTTTTTTATCACATAGTTTACTAATACAGTAAAATCTTCTTTAATAAAACTAAAAAAATCCACTATGGTTGAACAAAATGGAGGCGAAAACACACAATAATTATTGAAGTCAATTCTTTCTTTAAAAAAGTCAACTACAGCAATTTTGTGCTCGGTTGTTTCCACGTGTTCTTCATATTTTTTTAAGTCCACAAAAATCCCACATTCAATACAGAATGTTTTTGTTTGATTGATTATATTCATGTCTGTTATAAAAAAGTTAAATTTTTGTGATTAAAAAAAGATAAAATTATCAAGAGTAAAAGACGAATTTTTTATTATTGTTTATTTTTTTGTACAAACATTATGTTTTATCAAGCAAGAACCACTGTTTGAACAAATGAATTAACTCAGCAAAGAAAAATAATATAGCTTATAATTTATAATAAATTAATCGATTCATTAATAGTTAATGCAATAAATTCTTTAAATGGCTATTTAAAAAAAATATATTTTACTTTTCAAAAAACAAATAATAAAAATTTACTTTTGGTGTAGTGTCCAAAACTGTAGAAATTCTTAAAAAAAGAAAAATAATGGGTATAGTGTATAGTGTTTAATAAACGACAAACTATTATTATTCTAACTCCAGACTTTTTAAATTACATTTTCAAAGTATACGTTTAAAAGTGAAAATAATGTAGTAGTAAAATGACTAATGCGACAGAAGCAAGTTCCTATAATTTTGATCTGATTAAAGACTTTAATTTCGTATTTATTCACTTAAGTATTATCACAAGTAAAACAAGTATTAATAAACATATTTGTTGTTGATTATATTTTTATCGAGTACTATAGTGAGCAGACACACATTAATACCCAATATGAACAAATCGTTAATTTAAAATAATAATATAATGCTAGTTTACACCGCCATTAAACACATACCACCATCCGAAATATTATCAAAAGGTAACGTGATGTTGATATCCGAGAATTCACTATTAATATTTGCATTAAAAGAATTAATTTCATATACTGTATCTTTAGTATCCAAACATTTATCAATCGGAATGTCAACTATTGTATGTGAAATAAATTTTGACTCCTGTAGTTCATCACTGATCACTTCAATAGCTGCAAAAAAATTTAATTTGCTAATATATCCTTATAAGTGTTATTAAACAATCTATCATGGACTGATGTTGAAAGATAAATGACGACCATATTAAAATAAATCAAAAAAGATTTTTAGATATTTTATAGAGATTGAGCCCATAAGGGAGGCGGATTAACAATATCCTTATAGTTCATGGTGTAAAATAAACATGTTGTTTACATTTGAACGCGGTGTTTAGGACAACCCACTATAACCTCTATTATAGTGCCAGGTAGATCATCGAGCATAGAAAAGATTTTAGATCATACTGAAATACTCACCAAGATCATTATTTATACAGTTATCATCAAAATATTCATTTTTTATTTCTACAGTGGTTTTCTCAACACTATAAACTTGTATCATTTCAAAAGTGTTTTCTTCGCAATTTGAGACAGGTTGAAATTTGGCCAAGTTTGAATCATCGCTCTCATTATTATTTATAACTCCTTAAAACAGGGAGACATTTAATTTATTAGAAAAGATTTACATGACAAAAAAAAAAA